ATGCCGACTATGTGCGGAGGAAGCAGAGACAGTTGAGCATGTTTTATGCCACTGCCCTGCCGTTAACCGTATCAGATTCTCGATTTTTGGGTCGCAGTTTATCTCCTCAAGGGATCTGAATGACCTTTCGCAGAGCAAGGTATTAATGTTCGTTAAGAGCATTGGACTGCACGGTGAAATTTGATAACGATATCTATCGGGGTACAATAGATACTTAGGGTCGCGGTGCAAGGTTGGTTAGTCCGCCTACCCGATATGTAGTCGATGCAATGTAATGTAATGTACAGGGGAAAGATACCTGGAATTGAGGATTTGCTGGAGGACCTACCAGTTGGAATTTATAATGGACTAATTTTCCAACAAGACGGCGCCCTACCTCACAACAGCAGAGTGGTTACTGATTTTTTAAGCAAAAAGTACAATAACGATTGTATTGGTAATAATGGACCAATAAAGTAGCCACCACGGTGAGAACAAACCGGTTCTTTCTCACATTTCTCCTTCCAGATCACCTGACCTCACACCTTTAGATTTTTTTTAATCGTGTTAGAAACTGTATTACCCAAATATCTCCACAGGAATTACGTCGAGTTGTTGGATCGACAATACGGAAGATACAATTATGTCAAAATCGAGGGAAAATTTAGAAAATTAGTTTTTTTGTATTGATAATTGAATTAAATTTACTTGTTGTTTCGAGTTTTTCTTTCAAAACTAATTTAATACAACTGTTAATTTATACCATTATTAAAAAAGAACCACTGCTCGAGAAATAGCAAATCAAGATGAACATAACGTAGTTTATTCTATTAACCTAGGTACTAGGTCCAACAATTATAAGCGATCGTGAAAATTTTTTCATGTAAAAGTTATGTGAAATTATGCTGTCTGCCCAACTGAAGAAAAAAAAATTATAGATTTAAAAAATTAGTACTCACTTCCGGTATAACCGGAAGCACAAAAAAATGATTTGCTGTCGTAATAATCCGTTTTAACGGCCTAATTATGCATTCCAAATGGTTTTCTTATATCACTAATGTGGAGTAGATCGCTGAGACCAACACAAGTTAATTATATTATATATGTATTGTTATATTCAAACAATGCTGAAGTATCGAAATTTTAGAAAAACAGTTTTTCTTCTCAGTTAATCAGCAGACCATATGGTTCAAACTAGTGGTGGAACGGATATCCGGCAACTATCCCGTATCCGGCCGGATTTTAAAAAATGACCACATAAGCCAGATACCGGATAGTTACCGAAAATCTGGCTTTGGCCGGATATTAAAACCCTATTACTTAGTTCTCCACCATTCACAGGAATTAATACCTCTTTTAGAAGTTGGACACTGTTGATAATAATCAAGTTCAACCCCAATAGGACTTTTTTCATTGAATACAACTTTATTTACATCAGGTTTGGCATTAGCAACCTCATTGTAACAATCCCAATACGATATATAAAATCTCTTGTTGTAGTTTCGTCTAGTTTTCTTCTCTTCGCATCATCACATTCATTACTAATAGAACTGTCACTTTATTATCACTTTCTATTATTAATTAAAGTATCCCCTTTTTAATGCAAAAGACCGTTTTGAAAAATCACTTTCAGTTCTTGAGAAAAACATTTTTGAAATGATCGACAATTTTTTCAAATTTTGCAATTTTCGCTGATTAAGTTTTAAAAATTCGTGTAAAATCCATTTCTTGGAATATGAGTATAAAAATTTCCCAAAGTGTTAATAAGAGTGTCCTCTTTTCAATGAACAAACCCGTTTTGAAAAATAACTTTTAGTTTTTGAGAAAACAATATTTGAAGTTTTGATTAAATTTTCAATGTTGCAATTTTCATCGATAATTTTCAAAATTCGCTATATATTAATTTCATGAAGGATCGTTGTGGGAATATCACGAATTATTAATTAAAATATCCTCTTTTTAATGCAAAAAGCCGTTTTGAAAAATCACTTTCAGTTCTTGACAAATAAATTTTTCAAATAATCAACAATTTTTTCGACTTTTGAAGTTTTCGCCGATTACGTTTTAAAAATTCGTATAAAATCCATTTCTTGTAATATGAGTATGAAAATTTCCCAAAGTGTTAATAAGACTGTCCTCTTTCCAATGAACTAACACGTTTTAAAAAATAACTTTTAGTTTTTGAGAAAACAATAGTTGAAGTTTTGGTAAAATGTTCGATGTTGCAATTTTCATACATAACTTTCAAAATTCGTTATAAAATTCATTTCTTGAAAGACCCTTGTGGAAATGTCGCCAATTATTAATTAAAGTATCCCCTTTTTAATGTAACAAGCCGTTTTGAAAAATCGTTTTTAAGAAATAAATTTTTTACATGATCGACAATCTTTTCAAATTTTGCAATTTTTGCCAATTAAGTTTTAAAAATTCGTATAAAATCCAGTTCTTGGAATATGAGTATGAAAATTTCCCAAAGTATTAATAAAAGGATCTTCTTTTCAATGAACAAACCCGTTTTGAAAAATACCTTTCAGTTTTTGAGAAAACAAGGTTTGAAGTTTTGACAATATTTTCGATGTTGCAATTTTCATCGATAATTTTCAAAATTCGCTATATAATTAATTTCTTGAAGGGTCCTTGTGGATATATCACCAATTATTAATTAAAGTATCCTCTTTTTAATGCAAAAAGCTGTTTTGAAAAATCACTTTTAGTTCTTGAGAAATAAATTTTTGAAATAATCGACAATTTTTTCGAATTTTGCAATTTTCGCCGATTAAGTTTTAAAAATTCGTATAAATTCCAGTTCTTTGAATATGAATATGAAAATTTCCCAAAGTATTAATAAAAGGATCTTCTTTCCAATGAACCAACCCGTTTTGAAAAATAGCTTTCAGTTTTTGAGAAAACAATATTTGAAGTTTTGATAAAATTTTCAATGTTGCAATTTTCATCGATAATTTTCAAAATTCGTTATTAAATTCATTTCTTGAGGGATCCTTGTGGAAATATCGCCAATTATTAATTAAAGTATCTCTTTTTAGAGTTGCTTCGTGAGTTAAATCAGCATCAAAAAAGTTCATTTTGTCTTGGATCCAAATAAGTTGACATATCTAGGAAGTTTCACTTCAGAAACGCAAAATCACTATCCGTTCCATCACCAATTCAAACCATTATGATAAAGCTAGGCTTACCAACTATTGCAAGATTTCATAAATGATTTAGATACGTTCTCATCGCCTGATCAATTCAGTTATTAGTAATATCTCTTTTGTCAGGAGGTTTATGATAACATTACCTTATTTCGATCTTGGCCTATATCATCCGTGTCCACCGTGAAAGTCCTAAATGATAGCTGGACAGGAAGTTTATTTATCGACTATCAACTGTAGATGTAATACCTGCGGTATAGTTTAGGATTATTTCGCGAATGAGCAGTAATCACTGCAGTTGATCTTTGTTTTTGCCAGAATATTCGAATTAGTAGTTGTGATAGAATAAGCAGTATGTACTCATCAAGGATCTCCTGCACCCTCAATCCCATTATTAGAAATAATTGATATCCTATATCTTCTCTTTTTAAGCATGTAAACATTAAGCTTGATAAAATGTTCTCTGATGGTGTTGTAGCAATTACAATTTCTACATGGTAGTCTCGTATTGTCACAGAATGAGCTACTAATTCATTTTGTTTTGATCTTGATACTCAGCAGGGTCCAGAAACGGGAGAGTCCAGACGTTTTTATTGTATTTGCTGTTCAATAAAAAGTTCAATCTGTTTGGAGTATTGGTCGTGGTAACAGGAAAGAAGACGGACAAGTCTTGATGATTGAACCTAAATGTGATAATGCAGGATCCTCATTTTGCACATAGTTTTTATATAAATCCTTCACAACAAAGCGTCTTGGATATGACACCCTGCTAAAGGAGAAGCTTATTTCTAATGTTTTGACCATAATTGCTCCAATTACGTTTAGAAGCAAACTTCAAAAATACAGCTTTTTCTTATATTCATACGAAAGTTAAAAATAAAGATCTGTGCCAATTGGTGACAGAGTTAAAACATTTTAGAAATTATAAATTAGTTTTAATATAAAACTATCAATATTTCAATGAATTTGCTAAATGAAATTTTCAATATTCTCTTAATAGATGAACGTTTTTGACGTTGATTCGTTAACATGACGGAGTATAATTCAGGTAAAATTGGATTTCGGCCTCGACACAAAATACTTTCACCTTTAATTGTTTCGAGTAATAAAATTTTAATATCCACGTCAATCATACGAATGGAATTTTATTCAATTTCAAGTTTCACCGTGACATCTTAATTACTTCCCATTCATTTCCATCTACACTCTATTTAAAAAAAACTAACTTTTATTACCCTATAAAAATTCGTTTAAAGTCTAAGTGAATGAACTTAATCCACCCGAAAGTTAAACGAAAGTTACGTATTAGCATACTAATAGAATCGGCCGTATTCTGGCTACCCCTTCTGCGCCTTTTTGTAGAATTTCCAATTAAGATTTGTCACGTTTTCGTTAGAGGCGAAGGGATTTAATGCTAAATCTGGAGACATATCTACATGTAAATTTCGCTTTGAAGATGTTCAAAGTAAAAGAGCCTATTTCGTGTGATAGAATTTCTATGGGAACAAAAAGATGGCTTAAAAATTTGAAACTATAAAAATAAATTAAAAATAATAATCGTTTGAGGTAGATGTTATAATTGAAGGGAGAAGGCGTAGTCTTTTGCAAATTGCTTGTGTAATACTTCAACATGGGCAATTTCAAGGTACTTAATAGCACGAGTTGGCAAGAGTTTCCGTTTTTCCCCCGTTATCTTTTGTTAGACGGGTTCCTGAGTTTCTTTGTGGAAATCTCCTCGAGCGATTTTAAACCTTGAAATGTTTTCTTTGGGATAGTTAAAAACTTTCTTGGTGTATTTTAACCCGTAAACATAAAAGAAGTTTTTTAAATGTTGCACTTTTTTTGATCATTTCTATGTCTTGTTTACAGGTTCCAAGAAATAAATCACACTGAAGATCTTTCTGAATTGCTTCACTGCCCAAGGTAAGCTATTTTAAACGTTTACAAGAATTACTTTTATCTTTGAACGTCGCCGTTTTCTTGGAGTCAACAGAAACTCCTAAAACTTTAAATTAAAACATCGTGAAATTGCATCGGAAACTTCCGGTCCCACCACCACCGAAAAGCTCAACTACCGGATTAATCCACGTTACCTCCACTATTATAATTTCGGTTGCGACCCGCTTTTTAATTAAAACTTTCGACAAAACCCAACGGAATAAAGCTTTAACGTCGTCGTGAATCCTTTTATATTTTTTTTAATTTTTTCCCTCTAATTTTTTTCTAAGAAGATGCAACCAATTTGCTTATACTTTTAATTAATAAGTCGAATTAGTAAACGACGGTTATGGGTTTACGACAAACCGTCAAAAACTTTTATGGCAATGAGCTTTTAAAAAAGCTCGTTCGTTCCGTACGAGGCATGCAATTGAAAATATAATCGCGTTTTTACTGACCAATTTGCGCGGGTGCAATCTCATTTGCATTTAAATACCGGAATTTGCACGAGAACGCGATGGCACATTTAGAGCTTTATAGGAATTATCGTTTTTAAATACCTAGAACGAATTTGGTAATGAGTTTTAAAATTTTTTTCCATATCGAAAAAAAGCATCACTAAAAATGAACAAAAATGGAATAATTTGGCGTTGTTATTTTAGCACTATTTTTTGTGTTTTTAAATAATTTTACAGAACGAGTTTGAAATAAATTTATGAGAGATTTAGTAATTACTAACATTCAAACACTCTCCGCGTATTGTTTACGTTTAACAATATCTAATTCATTACGTTTGAAGTTGTTCTTATTGGTGATGAAGTCAAAACAAAGGTAGTCGAGAAAAATATATTTTTTAGAGTGGTTATGAAGATATCTAGCCTTATAAGTCATAGTGATAATCTGATAATGATGATAATATCAAAGTATTTAACTGTGATGTGTCCGAGACTTTAAATCTTGCCCCGCTAATTGATGTAGTTGTTGGTAAATGTGTCTATTTCTCGATCAGCATATTTATTATTACACTATACAATACCTCCTGATGTTCCACTGGATGATTTGGAACTGTTTCTTGATTCGCTTAGTATCAGCTTGATTGGGAAGAATATTATAATTTGTGGCGACTTTAACTGCTTTCGTTTTGTGATGTCCGAGAATAGCCTCGATCACAAATCTTTCCTTTTGAAGAACTTTGTTGATACTTTAAACCTAGTTCAACATAATATCTACAACTCTAGAGGTAGGATACTCGACTTAGGCCCACTTTTACCACCTTTTGATAAATTTATCCGATAGATAAATCCAACTCTTAGGTCCATTACTACCATCTTTTAGTTAAATTTATCGTATAGATAAACCCATCTACTAGCCAATCAGAGTGCGTAAAATAGCCGTAACCGTGGTAATAATCCCTTAGATAGCTTAACCAGAAGATAGTAGTAACGAGCCTTAGCCAATAAGAACGCTTAAAAACCCGCCGTAACCATGGCAACTATCCTTTAGATAGTTTATCAGGAGGATGGTAAAAGTGGGCCTTAGTATTTACTAACTTTAACTGCGAAGTAACTGCAGAGCGTGACGTTGCACTCTTACTTACTAAAACTTTAATCATCCTGCACTGAACATCTCGATTAAATCTCAGAATATTGAAGATGCTCTAGTGCAGTGATGGCGAACCTTTTGAGCTGGAGGTGTCAAAATTTTCAAAACTCTTAGTAAACAATATGTTGTCATATATAAAAATTTTAATAAGTAGTATTTGGTATTTTCAGATAAAAAAAGATTTATTTTTTGCAATATTTAACCCAAAGAATAACATCTCACAGTAATATGTTGAAAAATATATTTTTAATAACGCCATTGGTAGATTCTTTATGTTACTAAATGTTACTGTCAGATAATCTGTTCCAAACATTCAAAATTTCCTGTTCGTAGTTGCACTCTTCTTCATTATTTAAACGATTCCGCTCCAAATTTTCAAGCTTCACTCTTAACTTAACGAATATATGACTCCAAACACTTTCTTGAAATTCTACCAGTTCCATTTCTAAATTTTCAATTTCCAACCATTGAAAATCATTTAAATCCAAAGTATTGTAAGTAACTGCATCCGGATATTTAATTACTTTAATGTTCAGATAATGAATTTATTATATTCTGGTAAAAAAGTATACACTCCGTTACATTAATGGTCTTCTCAAAGTACCTTTTAACGGATGAAACTATTTGTAAGTTTTAGATTCAATATCTCGTTTAAAAATATTTCACGTTTACTTTCAAAAGATTTGATGTATCCAAACATAACATCAATACTTTTGCCAAAACCTTGTAATTTTAAGTTTAGTTCATTCATATGAACAGACAAATCTGTAAATAACATCAAATTAAATTTCGTCAAAACATTCCACAAATCGCTCATGAACTTTACCACGATTCAGCCATCTCACATTCATTAAACATTAGCAATCCACTGTAAGTTGAATCGACTTCTTGCCAAAGTGCAGAAAATTCTCGCTTATGGAGAAGTCGAGCAGTGATAAAATTAACAATTTTTGTTACATCAGACATTACATTATTCAGTTCTGAAAATCCTGATTTAGCACACAATACCTCATGATGGATAATGCAATAGAATGGTACAATAAGACGTCTAACAGTTTCCATAAACAATTTTACGAATTCCACATTTTTTCTAACCATATTTTGTTCTGTTATGACATGACCGACACAAGTTTAGAGATATCAATGCTTAAGTCACTGAACGTTTCTATAACAAGCTTACATATTTCGTTTCCTGATGTACTTATTGGCACTGATTCTAATTTTATCAAATCTTCTCTCATGGTAAGGCCATCAGAATATCTCGCAATAATGGTCAACCGAGTATTTGATGTGATATTAATGGTTTCATCAAGAGAAATCGANTGTTGTTGTTCACAGTCTATAGTACAATTCTTACTAAGTCTTTTTTTCAATTCATTCCACTTTTGATAATTGAACATATGATCAATACTTGATTCATGTCGGGATAATTGTGTAGCCAAATGTCGCCAATCAGAAAATCCGTCTTTTCCTGTTAATTTCATTGATTTAATGGAAAATAATTTGCAACAATAACAAAATGTGCTGTTTGCCTTGAGTGAGTACACCAACCATTTTCTTTCAATCTTTTCACCATTTGGTAATATTCGAAAGTATTGTGACGGTGAGAACGATCTTCCATCGCTGTCTGTGTTTGTAGGAAATTTTATGTTTTGTTGAATCGATGGAGGTCCTTTTTCAACAAGAATTTCCAATAATCGGTTATTGATTATTGCTGGCCAAGTAGAGGGGTCGTGTAGATTTATAGTTGATGAGGTCCAAGATACATCATCAATTTCTATTTCAGTATTTTTTTTTTTCATACGCGGAACTTGCAGGACTAGTGGTAATACTGGTAATGTCATCAGTTGGGATAGTAATGTTACTAATATTATCAGATGTTGCTGCGTCGATAGAAAAATTCCTCGCTGAAGTCGAAACTGGTTTATTATCTTCATCTAACTTAACAAACTTAAGCATAGAATTTCGTAATTTTTCTTCTTGCTTATCTTTTTCCGTTTTACGCTTTATATAAAAAGCACCAGATTCACGCTTTGTCTTCCTTTCTGACATCTTCGATCTTTATGCTTATGTTAAGAAATAATATCCACCTTAGTTAACTTACAATTAGTGTCTAAGTAAATAGGAATTTTATTTACCTTCGAATCGGCAGGTTTTTCACAATAAACTAAGTTAATAAACCAAATATTAATACATTGAACATTTGGGAAACAATGGTGATTTAGAGGTTAGCCCTGACCGGTTAGGAAACATTGTTAACGATTTTAAATTTTACTTAAAAGAGGTAAGTGTTGCCAACAAAAAAATCAGAACCAATTTTTTTTATTTATGGTTGGTAGCACGGTGTAGTTTTACTTTCGGCGACTAGATGCCCCTGAAGGCATTCGAAGTTTGAGTAATTTCCGTCGTGTCATATGATGGCGCAAACTGAATATTTCAATGTGGTTTTTTTAAATATTTCGTCTGTGCATATGACGGCCGGCCGCCCTGTATGTTCGGCCGCCTTCGTGCATGCACGCTTCGCACGTTCGGTAGAACCGGGCCTGCCCTAGATAGTTTATCAGGAGGATGGTAAATGTGGGCCTTAGTATTTACTAACTTTAACTGCGAAGTAACTGCAGAGCGTGACGTTGCACTCTTACTTACTAAAAACTTTAATCATCCTGCACTAAACATCTCGATTAAATCTCAGAATATTGAAGATGCTCTAGTGCAGTGATGGCGAACCTTTTGAGCTGGACGTGTCAAAATTTTCAAAACTCTTAATAAACAATATGCTGTCATATATAAAAATTTTAATAAGTATTTGGTATTTTCAAATAAAAAAGATTTATTTTTTGCAATATTTAACCCAAAGAATAACATCTCACAGTAATATGTTGAAGAATATATTGTTAATGACGCCATTACTAGATTCTTTATGTTACTAAATGTTACTGTCAGATAATCTGTTCCAAACATTCAAAATTTCCTGTTCGTAGTTGCACTCTTTTTCATTATTTAAACGATTCCGCTCAAAATTTTCTAGCTTCACTCTTAACTCAACGAATATATGACTCCAAACACTTTCTTGAAATTCTACCAGTTCCATTTCTAAATTTTCAATTTCCAACCATTGAAAATCATTTAAATCCAAAGTATTGTAAGTAACTACATCCGGATATTTAATTATTTTAATGTTCTCTTTCAGGCTTCTAAATTGGTTAAATCTTTCGCTGAACTGTTCAGATAATGAAATTATATTCTGGTAAAAAAGTATACACTCCGTTACATTAATGGTCTTCTCAAAGTACCTTTTAACCGAGGAAAATATTTGTAAGTTTTCGATTCAATATCTCGTTTAAATTTTTTTTTTTGATGTATCCAAACATAACATCAATACA